TTTTAAGTGTTTCACAATTTGGATTTAGAAAGGGCAACTGTACATCAGACGCAATAGACAAATTGATTAATGAGGTACTAATGGTCTTTGAGAGGAAGTCACTTGCTCAGGCCACCTGAGTAGGGCATGGATTGTGTGGACCATGATGACATAATAATGAAATTAAGTTTTTATGGTATCAACTGAACTCCACTTTTTTCAAGCCATACTTAAACAATAGAACACAAAAAGTCAATAGTGATGGAGAACGGTCCCAAGAATGGCAAGAATTAAAAATAAAATATGGCGTGCCTCAGGGATCTATTCTAGGTCCTCTGTTATTTTTAATTTGTTTAACGATCTCCCAGAATGTATAACCAGTAAAACTTATTTGTATGCAAATGATACTAGGTGGCGTTCGCAGAGGCATCCACAAAATTGAGCGGAGTCATCAAAGGTTCATATTATATTGTTTTTGTCATACTGCAGTAAAAGCAGTCGTTTTTCATGCATGCGTTGCGGGTCTAAAGGAGCATTTTTACTCTTTAGGAAGTAAAAATCGTTTTTAGCCTCTATGGAGTAAAAATCTGCTGTTGTCAACACAGTTGTAAATTTCGATTGTAAACGATTGCATGTATCGAAAATATGTATCGATTCGTGCTTCGTAATCATTTTAACCTACAGTTTACAGTATCTTCCCATAGCATATTAGCATTGCAGATACATTAATCCATTCCCACACTCAACACTGCTCACCTTTACTACTTCCTTCACCACCCCCTACGTCGTGGACCTATTTCCCTCTCTTCCCATAGCATTTTAGGATCGCAGATACATTAATGTAATTGCCAAAGACAGTTCCCACACTCTGCACTGCTAGCCTTACTACTTCATTCCCCATTTCCTACGTCATAGACCTGTTTCCTTCCCTTCTCGTAGCATTTAAGTATTACAGATACATTTATCTAACTGCCCAAACGGTTCCCCCACTCTGCACTGCCAGCCTTTACTACTTCCTTCACCACTTCCTACGTCGTGGGGCCTGTTTCCTTCCCTTGCCTAGGATTGATTATACAACTGCCACAGATGGTTCTCATCTTACACTATGCTCATACTTAACTACTTCCCAAGCCACTTCCTACGTCGTGGACCTGTTTTTATCACTTTCCATAGCATTTTAGTATGTTAGATACGTTAGTCTAATTGCCACAAACATTCCCCACACTCCGCACTGCTTGCCTTTACTACTTCTTTCCCCATTTCCTATGTCGTGAGCATGCTTCCATCCCTTCTCATAGCATTTCAGCATTGCAGATACATTAATCTAACTGCTACAAACGGTTTCCAGTTCCCACACTCCACACTGCTCACCTTACTACTTCCTTCACCTCTTCCTACGTCGCGGGCCTGTTTCCCTCTCTTCCCATAGCATTTTAGGATTGTAGATACCTTAATCTAATCGTCATAAACAGTTCCCACACTCCAGACAGCTCGCCTTGACTACTTCCTTCACCCCTTCCTACATCGCGGACCTGTTTTCCTCCCTTCCCATAGCATTTTAGGATTGAAGATACCCTAATCTAATCGTCATAACAAGTTCCCACACTCTGGACTGCTTGCCTTTACTACTTCCTTTACCACTTCCTACGTCACGGACCTGTTTCTCTCCCTCCCCTTAGCAAACAGATCCCATACTCCGAACAACTCGCCTTGACTACTTCCTTCACCACTTCCTACATCGCAGACCTGTTTTCCTCCCTTCCCATAGCATTTTAGGATTGTAGATACCTTAATCTAATCGTTATAGACAGTTTTCACACTCCGGTCAGCTCGCCTTGACTACTTCCTTCACCACATCCTACGTCGGGGACCTGTTTTCCTCCCTTCCCATAGCATTTTACATTTTAGGATTTCAAATACCTTAATATAATGGTCATAAACAGATCCCACACCCCGAACAGCTCGCCTTTACTACTTCCTTCACCACTTCCAACGTCGCGGACCTGTTTTCCTCCCTTCCCATAGAATTTCAGGAATGCAGATACCTTAATCTAATTGTCATAAACAGTTTCCACACTCCAGACTGCTCACCTTTACTTCCTCCTACGTCACGGACCTTAAGTTAGTGTCGTCATTTGATTATATTTATGATCCATACCGTTTCTGTTCTAATATCTGTGGAATAATGCTATCAGCTATTTCGTTATCTACTGCATTCAAAATTCAACAGCTGATCATATGTTTTTGTTTATGTGTTAAATACTGCTTCCATAAGGATTGCATTGAAACTTTGAGACCCAGTGGGGCGGATTCCTGAGAGACTTTTTTAACGCCATATAGATGTTGGCACTCACCGATATGGTCTTTATCACCATGCAAAATTTGAAAACAATTGATTCAGCCGTCTAGGAGTTTGCGTATTATGAAATGCATAAGAGTCGACGTATAAGAGCTTCGCTCAACATTTTTAAATATTAATCCAAAATGTCTTACATGTCCAACATTAACATGTCTTAAAAAACTTAAAGAGTTCAAAACTCAATTAATGAAGCTTCTATTTGGTTTGAATCTAATGGCTTCCTCTTAAACAAAGATCAAACCCCAAAACTTGTTTTTGGGTAAGGCCAAAACCGCTAAGGTCTAAGGACCGTGTGAATTAAATATGTTGGATCGTTTTGTAGACAATGTTAAATTTCTTGGTATTTATCTGGATAAGACCCTTTCTTGGGGACCTCATATAGATTGCATTCAGTTCTAAGCTTTCAAGGGTACTTTGTCTTATAACTAAACTAATACATTGTAGAGATCAAAATTATATTTAACATCCTAAATTTCTTGGTATTTATCTGGATAAGACCCTTTCTTGGGGACCTCATATAGATTACATTAAGTTCTAAGCTTTCAAGGGTAATTTTAATTTGTCTTATAACTAAACTAATACATTGTATAGATCAAAATTATATTTAAAACAGCCTACTTTGATTATTTTTAATCCATTTCCAGATACAATATTATCTTTTACGGAAATTGCAGTAGGGTAGATTTTAGTCTTACAAAAGAAGTTAGTTAGAATCATATCTTGTGAAACCCCTACAGGAACACTGTAAACCCCTGATGTGGTGTCAACTTAGCCACAGCTGTGTTGCCTTTAGTCTATACTTTATATTTTAATATTTATTATGTAACAGCTGTTGCTTGTTTTTGTTAAAATGTTTAGTTTTTGACTATGTTATGATTCAACACACTTCTTCATTCGTTTACAAATAAAACTTTATCAAATATTCGTTCATATAGTGGTGATTTATTTCATACAGAATAAACATCTATCTGTTCATTCAGATACAAATTCCAACAGTAATTAAAATTTATGTATTTGACTCTGATCATATATTCTAAAAAATCCCAGCCTTATCAAACAAAATTCTCATGTTCATAATACAAGGAATAAAAACGTTGCTACCATAGATTTTTTAGACTGTCTAAAACTCTTAAAAGCCATATTGTAATCTCACTAAAAATGTACAACAAGCATGGCACATTTAATACCAAAATATCCTGAAAATACTTTTAAATCTAAATTCTACAAATGGCTTTTGACCAACCCTTTTTATTCTCTAAAAGAATTTTTTGAAATGCCTTTTATTAATTTTTAAGTAGAGATAGCAAATTGACCAAATTACTGTTGGACTTAGTTGGTTATAGGGTTTAATAACTAGGGTTTAATAACCATTATTCCAAATGCCTTGAACTTTTCTTAACAATAAGATTATTTAGTTGTAATATTTAAAATATGTATTGTAACATATCTCTTTGTGTGTAGTTAGCTATATTGTATTCATTAACTGACTATGCTATAATTTTAGCTGTTTTATGACATTGCCAATAATTTGTATAAATTCAAAAGACAATAAACACATTTCATTTCATATATTAGAAGCAGACTCCATAAATATTGAAAATAAATATTTCTTCACCTTAAGTCATTATGTCATGTAAGTGTAATTATAGGTCAAATATTAGATTAACAAAACTTTTCAGGACACATATCTGGTAAATTATTTTTTTTTTTTACTTCACTCTATTGAAAAGTATGAATATAAAAATGCCAAACTGCCTCGAATCAAAATGCATCGATTGCAAACAACAAAAATTCAAGTTGAATGCAATCAAATCAAAAGATTTTGCTGCTTCGCACACTCCTTCTTGAAATTATATAAGTATTTTTTTTTTATTGGGCTCAGAGTTTTGTGATGGAAGTTAAATCCTGTAAAATCATTTGAAAACAATAACTCTGCAGTTCATCCAGGAACATTTCCTGGAATAAGTTTGATTGTACTATATACTTGATGATTTTAAATTGCACATTATTGTTAGCTAGCCTTACAATATACATGTTAAGTTTGTGGGACTGTGTAGGCCTCTTTGTTAAAAACCAATGTAAAATTAAATTGATATTATTATTGTAAAATTAGGATCAAAGCTATTTTTTTTATTTGCTTGTACAAACTTGATGGCATGAAATTGTTGTATTTTTGTAAATAGACATAGCTAAATAGCTATTTTAAAATTATGAGAAAATATTTTTTTAAGTGATTTACTGGATTGGTATTCGCCATTCAACATTTTTAACCAATGACCAATAGTGCTAATACCTTAATGTCCATTAGGCTACCTATTTCAAGTGCATTATGACTAGGTAAAAAATGTTATTTTTTGTCAAAAGTTTCAACAGCACAGTCTTCTTGTTTAATGGCTAGGTGAAAACATGTTTAAGGCCCCGATACCAGTTTAGTCAAGGGATTAAATTACTGTAATAATATAACTCAGAAAATTTGTACAAAATTTTATTTAGGATTCCCAGTTATTTCCTTATAACATGACAGTAAATTAGGCACAACATAATATATTGACTAAAACAGAAGCTAAAATAATTTATTAAAATATGATTAACTAATGACTATAATAAACAACAATTAAAGGTTAACACATCAGTCTATACAACTGGGGTAACAATTTCTTCACAGAATCAATATACATTGCTAAAAAATAATGGTGGCTATTCAAAACTAATTTGGTTAACTAACATGATTGCATTGGAATATTGTTTTTTAAGTTGAGCCTAGGTGTTTGTACAAATGTTTTTCAGCCACTGAGAATTAACAGTATTTAATTAAGGTTTTTAGCAAATTTGAGTGATGCATACAAGGCACCTACCTATAAATTGTAGTTTAACCCTTTTAGTGCCGCAGCGAGCGACGCAATGTGTTTACACATAAATTGCCAAGCGTCGCTGACGCCGACTTTCAGTATTTTATATATTACTCAAATATCAAACAACATACTGGCTTTAAAAACACATTGTTTTGATCCAAAAGCTTCCGGCTGTATCAATTTTGTTGCGTTTGGTCTGTTAGCAGACACTATTTTAGTTGTTTTTGTCGTAGATAACATCTGATATCGTCTGTTTGAGGTTTGTTTGTTGTTGTCAGGTTATACTTATATTTTTTAATTTCCTTGTATAAATATTTATGTTTTTGTTTTTATACATTGGCAAAGGTAATTTATTAGTAATAACAATCTTTACTGACAACAAACTAAAACATACCATAGTTGTTCATATTACAGAATTCTAGTTTAGCGTTGCTTAGTAACCACATAGGCTTATTTGGAATTGTAATAGATTTTTATTTAGTTTTTTTCAAATTTGTTTTAAACTTGATGATCTATACATCAATTTTGATCTCCATTTTCTGCTCCTTCTGACTGTTATATTGAATAAAAATGATAAAATTGTTTAGCATAAGTTAAAGCATTGTTAAAGGAAGTCTAAATATTTCAAAAATCTTTTTTTTATACTTTTTTGGTCCCAATTTATTTTGAATTTTTTGATATCTTATACCATTTCATAGAGAATTTATTCTAGCACAAAATAAAAATTACATGGATACTCCTAAAATTGTATTTTATATGACATTTTATAAAGTACTGCATTTTACATTGAAATTAGATAGGCAATTTTTGCACAAAAAATGGGCATGACACTGCAGCACTCAAAGAGTTAAAACATTTCTTCAGTGGATTTCAAGCTGCAAATTAGTTTGTAACTGACACTTCAAAACGGAAAACCTTTCTCCAGCCAAATACGTGATTCATTTCAATTTCTTTTACCTCTCCATGGCTGAAATTTACCTGAATTACCATAAAGCTTTTGATTGATGTTGGCATGGACTGAGACGGTTATGGTGAGCTGGCTGTTCAAGGACTAGGCATGACTTTGAGCCTATCAAAGGCAGCTTTCTCCAGGGCCTCACGATGTTCTGGGTGTGCGATGCTAATCAAGGCGTGCGCTCGCTGGCGAAGGCTTTTACCAAACAGATATGCGATTCCATGCTCTGTGACAACGTAGTGAACATGCGCTCTGGTTGTTACCACTCCAGCGCCTGTTGATAAAAAGTTTACCAATTAATTGTTATTTATTATATTTATTAAATACATGTTTTAAGCCCCTGAGTTATATATTGTAACTAGGGATGGGCCGATTCCGATTCTCGACACCAGTGGTATCGTAGAATTGCCGATACTCGATACTTCGCTTTATTGTACTGGATACCGATTCTGAAAAGTGAGGATAATTATGATGCTAAACTCAACTGACATTGAAGGTTGTAAAGAGTGGCACATCATAGTTTATTTGGAATACTCTGAAGTCAGCTAATATAAATAATTACAATAATAATTCATTAATTAATTGATAATAAATATTTAAGCCAGTATTGCCAACTGAAAGTACTATAGCTCCGTCGAACACTACACACGCGGCGTGTTTATTGTACAGTCTGGCGTTTAGTTGACGTTGGCGCGCAATTCTAATAGATAGTTTCGTCGTTTCTATAGCAACCGTGCCGTGACCTTTTCCTTGGTCTCGCGCATTCCTCTGCCTTTGTATTATTTAATCTGCATCGAAAGATAAGACTCGCTTATATGCATTGACTATTGAGTCAAATAACAATTATTTCATTCGGGGTTTTTGATCGTTTGTTTGGATAAAACTACGTACCGTATATTGTTGAATCAAATTTGTAGTGTGGTAATATGGTACCTGTGTATAATTATGGGTATCATGGAGGTCAATTTACCTCGTGTATATCAACAAAGTTTAATATCTTAAATTAATCTGAACGATTCATAGTAGCCAACAGGCACAAAGTAGTGTATTATGCAAGATGTAAATTTCAAACATGTGTAAGAGTAAAGTAAGAAATATTCGCAAGTTTACTGCAACAGTAGTTCGTTAGGATTGTCTATTTAAGAAAGTTATTATTACGTGTATAAGCCGTTCATCAAGCGTCATGAGAAAGAAAATCTTTTATAAAAGTGAAAGTGTATATAAAATATCTATAAATAAAATTAGAGTTTTCTCTGTGCATTGTTCAGGATTATGTATTTTTCGGTTATGTTTGAGTTTATACTTTAAAAAGCTTTTAATGTGTTATCTCAATTTCTGTCTGTCTGTTTGTCATGGCCCAGAAGGCATTTTACGTAGTCTTTGCATGTAAAAATGAACAAGAGTTCTTCTCCTGAAATACGAATACGAAATACGATAGGGATTTAAATAGTTTTTTTGTGTTCACTGAATTGGCAAGAGTGTATGCCCTTAAAACATGCATCGCTACTATTGAAATAACCTGACTGATGACGTTCAAAACCCAATTTTGTGGATTTTTGTCAAGTTTTCTCCCCATGTCTACCACATACGTCTTTATCAAATACTAATGATCTGTTTGGAGAATACGACATCTATGAAATAACGAACATCGGTTTGGATGGATTATTTTTTTTTTTCTAGCTGTCACTGATATGTGTGATATGTAGATATCCAATGTGATATGTGGATATCACATTGGTGGATATCCACCAAGATCCATTGGTGGATCTTGCCTCAGATGCCTCTCTCTTTCCTCGATGGTGTAACTTGCCTCAGTTTACCTCCTCTTTCCTCATTGTTGTATCTTAGCCTCTCTCTTTCCTCGTTGGTGTATATCTTGCCTCGGATAGTTCCAGACACCGGGCGCTTGGAGCGCTGAAATAGTTTCTTTCCGTAGTAAGTCAACGTCGTGTCGGCCGCTACGGCAGTGTGTGAGGTGAGAGGCTGCTAAAGAGACAGCATGTCGCTCCCATCGATATGTAAAATGGATCGCGCTACGTGAGCCAAAACGCGGACGCCAAGACACCATAGTCCGGTCAACTACTGGGGCTGCCGACGTATATCTGTACGTCGTCAGCACGGGTGTGTGGTTTGAACTGGTGTTTTTTTGCAATGGTACTGTTTAGTTTATATTTTTTATAATGAATTGAGTATATACGAGGGACATGCCATGCAAGTGTGTTCTACTTCTACGATCTGTATTTGTCAGAACAGCTAAAACTATAACGAAGTTAGTTTGTTTTTAGTGAATTTACCATATAGGGAATATGCTATTACCGTAGTACTCATGGTAAGACCTAGACCCGGGACAGACTTAATTTTTTGTTTTGAGGTCCCTAGAGGCCAAAAACACCATCCGTTCAAATGCATATGTATATATATGTGTGTGTCCGTTAGCGCGATAACTCGAGCAAAAATGATCAGATTTTGATGAAATTTTGTACAAACGTGTAAACCTACGTTTATTCGTACGAATTCGCGATCCAGCATAATCTGACCATGGGAACGGGGGTTTATGGGGGGCTTTATGGGGTAAAAATGGGGTTTTCCATTTTTTGACCCTAAAAACAAAAAAAATTTGCAATTTCTTTTTAAACCGTTTTGAAGAGCTTAAAAAATTAATAATTTAGTATATTGAAGCGCTGTTGTATGCCTAACGGTTACGGAGAAAATTTAAAAATAGTATAATTTAAAATTCTCATGTTATTCTTGTTATTCTTATGGAGAAAATGAAAACTGTTGTAGTTTACTTGTCTATGGTTATATATTGATAAAATTTGGCAAATTAATTATTTCATCCTATACTATTGACATATATGGTCCAAACACACTTTTTACCTTCCCCATAGCAGCACTCGTTAAATCTAATGATATTTAAATTTGGAATAAATATGTCTTATTTATAGAAATATTTTAGTAAAAATGTAATCAGACAAGTTGAAATTGATGAATTTGATACTTTCCAAATTTCTTCATTTGGAGTAAAACCAGTAGACTTCTTACCCCATTGTAAATCTTGAAGCTCGTTTTCGTGTCTAGTTCATGTACGGTGACACTGGGCGCTAGTGTCAACAAAATTGTGTTTCTATTATATCTTGATTTGTGCTTTCCTGTTTAGTTATATAAATAGGAGACGAGTTATTGTTTATGATTAGATCGTATTATTTGGTTAAATGATGTTTTAAATAACTGAAATAACAAGAAACGAATTGTAAACAAAACACGGCCTCTGCAGTACCGTACAGAACTATAGCCGAATACAGGATTAGGCAAAAGTCTGGAACCCCCCAGTTAATCTTTTAACGCGTTGCAGTAGAAAAACCAAACTCGGATATGCTGGAAAAACTATTTTTGTATAGGAATACATATAAACCTTCGCAAATACAATATCTGACAGTTTCAAGCCAAAATGAATGCTTCGCAAAAAAATGTCACCCGATCGTGTTAGTCCTTATTTTATATCTAACGAGGTGTTAGCCCGTCCTACGTACGGGAATTCAGTAGTCAGTTAAAACCGTGTACAATTCAGATCAGCTAGTTTACACATATAAAGACAAAGTTTCTTGCAGTTTTAAGGTGAAAAATCATCTTGTAAACAAATGTGTGACCAAATATGTTATAGGCCTATACGATATGCATTTGAAATCCGATAATTTTACAATAAAACAGAAATTCTGCAATTTTTACGATGTGAAAAGCGTTGAAGTGAGTTTTGCAGCCGATTCGCACAGACGCACACTGATTATAAGTAGCCTATACAGTAGAGAGAGTAAATAGTGAATTGAGAAGTGTATAGACCTAGTCAACGATACCACCTTCCATAGCATACCTGCCTCTCCCATAATTATTATCACCACAATACAACTACTATACACAATTTCCAGTAGGTCTGAATAGAAACGACCTAAAATAAAATGATAATATCCAATAAAATTCACAGTACAAATAATTTAACTTTGGTGTCCTAACATAAAAAACTAATCGTCACACCTATCCTCAATTTCACTGCATTAATTGCTAAATAAATAAGTGTAAACAAAGAAAAGTAAAAACAATAACAGTTTGTTTTGAAACAGCTGTTTGGTTCAAATAACATTCATTTGAAAAAAAAGAACTGGTCACATGTAGCAGGAATATAAAAAGTAAACACGCTAGTAAAGCTAATGACGTAATTGTCAATGTTTATTATCCATACCGTTATCAGTTCTATCCTTGATAATTACCCACCCTCATTGAATAAATGTATATCGTAATTTCCCATATTAGTTAATTTAAACTACAATATATTCATAGTTAAAATAAAAGTGATATTTTCACGTTTGGGGGCGCTGATATAGGCACCCCCAAACGTAACCACAACTGAACACGATTTCATAAAAGGATGGTTTGTCTAATTGCAGTATCCTAGGTCAATGTTGACGTTGTGTTCAATCTATGTCATCCATCTGTTTATCTTTGTATAAAACCCGGCTGAGGTTGTGGTGGTAATTTAAAATCGTGATTCCTGATTATTCTTGATCTTCTTTTTGTGACATCAATATTTCCGGGCCTAATCCAAACAAAGTTAAAGCAGACAAACATAATTGTAAACAAAAAGCTACCATGAAGAATTAAAACATATAAACATTGTTATTTTTCTAATCTTTCCTTGAAAAGTGGAGAAGTAAAATAATTTGCATCTATCCTTTTTTATTATGACTCGTGTAAGCCTTGATTTGTCTGTGGTTTAATTAATTTTGGTCTAAACTATTTTAAACTGTGGTCTAATTATCTCTACTAATCTTACTTATTTCCTATAATCAATGACAAAATAAGAGTAAATAAAATAACCTCATAGTTCCATAGTTTATGTTTAACCAGCTGTTAGTTAAAACAAATTATATTGCTCTAAAACAAATGGAAGATTACAAAGATTGCTTTAAAAAATAATTTGAACATCCTAGTATTTTACTATGTATATTTAATTAATCTGTAATCCTCTTACAGAAGAATTGAACGTATCAATGATTAGCATTACACATAGTATAAATAAGTCAACCCTAAGTATGTCTTTACATTTTTATCCAAATGCTGAATTTGTGACACAAAAGCTGAATGTTTACAGCTGTTATGTTAAACAAATTATTTTATGCCAAAAGCTAGTTTAAAATCTTAGCGTCGGCTGCTAGACTTTAAAAAAATTAAAACTCAATTTCTAAAAAACTGGGACCCTAAACTAAAATTATGGCTTCGACA